AAGTATTTATATGACAATTTGTCTAGTCATTTAAATTATCAATATCATGGAGGAACAGACATGAAAATGTCTAATATAAAAGAAAGTAACAGTCCTTGGGAGGAGGGGGTTCTTAATTAGAACAAACTGACCAAAAGTATTTTTGGCAAAACTGGGAATTGATGACTGAATTTAAGATTACCATTTGTGTGAATTATTCATATTAGAGGTTGATGGTGCTGCATTATGAAAGTTTTTAGTAATAAATGCTGGAATAATAGAGATTAATTATCATGATTTTTGTAATTTACATTACAATACTTCAACAATCCATTAAGAACATGGAAAATGTTAACAATTGTAACATTTTACTTTGCTCTTTGCCTTTCAGGATGTGTGAATTCAAAAAGTAGTCAAAATTTTTCAAATTTCTCCTATTAAAGAATTTAATGTTCATTTCTCAATTTTTAAGAAATTGTACTTTTACTAGTATTTGACACTGTGTTTGTTTTGTTTTCCTAATTCTCTGACCTTTGCTAATTTGTAATGATTGATAGACGGAAAATGGTGTTCTGTCACATTAACTATCAGAAGGCAATCACTGTTTACCTAGACCAAAAGGAAACTGGAAGATCTGTTCCTGCTTGGAAGCTTGGGCCATGGTTATTGGTATCTCAATTAGTGTCATCAATCACTATCATGCTTCTCATCAATCAAGTATATTATTCATTGAGAATCTCCCATTGTCACCATCTTCATCAGGAAGAAGTGGATGCACAAAGGACCATTGTCAACCCCATAAAATTGCAACTATTCTTTCTTTGTCTTTAAAAGCAAGTTCCTTGACAGAAATGACCTTATCCTAAATCCAATAAATTTCCTAAATCTAAAAAATCTAAACAAGAGAGTTATAAAACCTGAAAATTCTCTTTGCTTTGTCCCTTTGCTTCCAGTTACCATCCTGAAAGGATCATCTGAAGGCAAGGAATTGGATTGAACATCCTGAGGAGAAAGTTTCACACAATATCAGTTATGTGGGGATATATTCCAATGTAAAATAAGCCACTTTCAAGTTACATATTTTCATTGAGTAATAACAATAATTGGTCTAATACAGTTATTCCCCTCTCCTCTTGTGAACTGCTAAACTCAGTGATAACAGATCCAACTTGTCTATTAATAGATGAAAATATGATTAATGGGAACATTTTTAAAGCTGACAAGCTGATATGTACACACTGTGCTCATGATCACAATAAGAAAAATAAAAGGTCACATCCTTCCTTTTATCTTTCCTCCTACAACCTATTGCCAAAAGTACAGTTACCTTCGGAAGTAGTTATTCAAACAATATTTTAAGACTGTACTATGTATTAGACATGATTACATAAAAATTAATAAAACAAAGTTATCTTGTCCTTTGGGCATTTATAGAAAGGGCATCAAATGGCAAAACTTTCAGGAGAATAATGCTTGAAGAAAAGTGTGTTTGGGGCTGGGGATGTGGCTCAAGCTGTAGTGCGCTCGCCTGGCATGCGTGCGGCCCGGGTTTGATCCTCAGCACCACATACAAACAAAGATGTTGTGTCCGCCAAGAACTAAAAAATAAATATTAAAAATTCTCTCTTCTCTCTCTCTCTCTTTAAAAAAAAGTGTGTTTTATATGGTTTTTTGTTCTAATAGCCTCATACCACAGAGTCAAGGAATATCTTTGCAAAGAAGAACATTCCAAAGAACATTTATAAAACTATGTTTAGTAAAAACCAAATAGTTTATATGGCTCTCTAAACAAGATTTCTTGACTCATTATAGAAATAAGAAAACTATTTCCTTCTCTTATTGCTAAACTTACTAAGATCCTGACTTTCCTAGGTGATCTCTATTATCAATAGAAAAGATCTATGCTGCAAATTAGTGATAAGAATAATTCTTTTGTCTCTCCTCCAATGCTTCCTCTCTCAAAGAATGCATTTTAGACTTAAAGCAATTTTGCCTCACCACTCTGGAGTAAAAATATATATGTAATTTTCAGAAACCATTGATCTACATTCTAATAATATAAGTCATTTAACAAAGTTCACCCTTCTTTCACAATGTTATAGCTAACACTGAACCCAGACTTTTCTGCTTTTCCCAGGAGCCAGTAAAAAAAGATGAAAACTCTATCACTGCTTGTATGCATCTTTGTGCTGAGTGCTTGCTTCCCAGTAAGTATCACCTCATGTGTCAATAACAAATATTTAGTGTGTAGATTTAATAGAGATTTCAAGAATTACAGTTAGATAGGACCAAGAAGTTCTGGCATGCTATTGCACAATGAAGGTGACTCTAGATAACAATTATGTACTACTTATTTCAAAAAGCTACAGGAAAGGATTTTGAATGTTTCCACCACAAAGAAATAACAAATGTTTGAGGAGACAAATATATTTACCTCAATTTAAATAATAATTGATGTACACATGTATTAATATATCAATATTGCATAGTACCCATTAATATGTACATTTTTTATTCTTTCTTTTAATTTTTTATTTGTTTTAATTAGTTATACATGACAGTAGAATGCACTTTGGTACATCATATATAATAGAGTATAATTTCTCATTCTTCTGGTTATACATGATGTAGAATCCCACCAGTCATAGGGTAATAATGTCTGATTCATTCTATTTTCCTTCCTGCCCCCATACTCTCTCCCTCTCTTCACTCCCCTCTATCTAATATTAAAGTAACTGTATTCTTCCCTAACCCCCTCCCCACAATATGTACAATTTTTACACTTTTATGTGTCAGATAAAATAAATAATAAATAAAGTGAAATGAAAGAAATTTTTAAAAAGTGTTACGGGCAATTTATATGTCCAAAAGATCAAAATATATTGTTTTCTGTGAAACAAAAGAAAATATTTCAATTAAACACAAGGAAACAATTTCTTTTCATCAATATCTATAGAGTACCAACTGTATAATGAGTGTGGTAAGCTCTTTCAGAGATGCAGAAAACAGATCTTACAGGCCTTTAGGCCTTGATGTGGAATATGGGTTGTTTTGTTTTTTTTTAAGTATGTCAGGAAACCTTGGGATGATACTCCCAGAGTAGTTACATGACTCAGGATTCTAGGGAGAAAACAGATGGCAGGGGACAAAAATTGAGATTAAGAGACTAGTCAGGAAGATATGGTAGCGGTCCAGATAAAAGACAATGGAGATTTGCACTAACTATCAGCACTTAATATAAAAGATGAGGGTATATTTAGATATATTTTGGTAATTGATTCTACTGTACCTTCTGATGGATTAGGTGTGTGGTAAAAGAAAGAAATGATCAAGGAGTCCTCTTTTAGACATGTTAAATTAAAAATGGCTATTAGACTTCTATATTAAGATGTCAAGAAGGCACTTGGATATACATTTTATGAATTTCAGAGAGAAATTAAAGGTAAAGTCCATAGTTTAAATATATTTAAAGTTATAAAATCCTACAAGATCACCTAGGGAGAAATTATAGGAATTTTGGAATGGATAGAGAAAATGAAGGAACCACAAAATGGGACAGGAATGTATGGTTTCCAAAACTAAAAGAAGAATACAAAGTGGACCCTGTCTTTAAGACATTTAGAATCCACAGGGAAAGCAAGATTAAAATTAATAATGATCCCTGGTGATATATTCTATAATAATAACCATATTTCTCTCTATCTATCTATCTATCTATCTTTGTGTGTGTGTGTGTGTGTGCGTGTGTGTGGTGCTGGGGATTGAACCCAGGGCCTTGTGCAAGTGAGGCAAACACTGTCCCAACAGAGCTATATCTCTAGCCCTAACCATATTTCTATCTGATCTACTTTTAAGTAGATTAAAATATTTACTGTGTGTTTATTTACTGAATAAAGTAGGAAAACCCCAGAATATTATGATGGTAGTAAAAATATAGAGAAGGGAGGGAAACTGGTAGAGTGGGTAAAATTTACTCTTGGATAATCTCATAATTCCCATTTATCACATAATTCTCTTCCCCCACCCAAAACCTTCTTAATCTTTTCCCCTAAATCCTAATGCTAATTTCTGTAATTATAACAGAAAGAGTGTTCAACTGGGCTCAGAAATGTCAAATTAAGCTCATGTCTAAACTGACCATCCAGATTAATCTTCAGCAATTTAAAATCTGTTTATAGAGCTCCAGTTTCCCTATGTACAAAATATTAATAACAGAATATGCTTTAAATATAAAATAATATGATCTCTTCTTATATACTAGTTGATAAGGCTATAAAGTCTGAATATGCACAATTATATCCACTTTTTGATAAGTTTGCTTTTAATAAGAAACTCCTAGATATCAAATATTTCTATATTAAAAGAAATGGTGGAACTACAATCAACACAAATCATTATTTTATTGTAGAATGACAAAATCTGGGTTGTTATTTTGAGGAGGCCCTTTCTGGTGTTTCCCACAAATCCAAATACCTAATGAATCATCCTTTTCCCAAGCTCAGGTTAAATAAAACTCTTCAAACTGTCCAAATATCAAAAAGTTTATAGAGAAGGAGTTTCCAAATAACTTGAATATATAAAAAGGTAGCACAGAATTGATTTGTTGAATCCTCAGAATATACAGGGATATAGCAGAAGTGACAGCAACCCACAGCCAAAGATCAGCCCAAAGTTCTAGCAACAAATGACATGTGGAATGATTTCAGGGAGTGGATAATGTGGCTCCTCTTTTCCAGATGCCTCAAAGAAAGATTGAGGGGATATATTCTGGAGTCTGTTATATATAACACTTAATATACTGCTTCCTTCGTCACTAGAAATTGATTACAGGTTTTCAAATGGCCATAAAAAATAGGCTATTAACATCAAATGCAGAAATTTAATGTGCTTTCTAGTTTCCAGTATATGTCATCTTGACCTTGCACTCATCTATTCCCCTTCCATTCTGAATCTTTTTCTTTCATGACTAATTTTTGCCTCCTTTTCCTTTCTTAGAAGAGTTTGCATTACTCCTGTTATTTTAAGAATCTGCTGCTTCCTCTACCAACTCCTTCTGGCTCCAAGTGTCATGTGTCTGTCTCCCTTCCCCCGTCCCTTGAGTGCACCTAACTCTCTACCTCCTCTCATTTTCTCCCACTCCTCTGCCATTAAAAGTGTGGTTTGCATACAGAGACACATTCTCTTAACTTAATTTCTCTGGAACTCAGTTTCCTCATCTATATAATAAGGATGTAGATAAGGATCTAAATAAACTTGCATTTGGAATTGGGCCTGACAAAAAGTTAAGTGTTATATATGAGGATTTTTAATAAAAATAAATCACAGATAGAAACAGGCAATTAAAGATCAATATAGTTAATGTGTTCTTCCTAGCACATATATACTTACTATAAATGCCTGTACACTTCAGTCATCAAATTTCCCTAGATTCAATTCAAATTAACAAGTTCCATCTATTATGGCTATCTGTAACTAACAGTAATAATTGATTAATAATAATTAATATATTTTAAGTAAATAAGTCAAACTGGTCATTTGACACAGGTTCTATAGTAAATTAACATAATTTATGGTATTTTAATTAATTTGCTTTCATCTAAAAATGCCATAGGTATTATTTGGTCACCTAAAATAAAATAGCTGAAACTATTTTACAATGTAAGTAAAATACTATTAAATGCTAAGATTTTATTCAAAAAGAAATTATTTATTTATTAGTCATTATCAATTTTATGCGTTCCTTCATTCCTTCATGCGTTCCTCATTCTAGTGAGTATCTGCCATTTGCCTACCGTCCATTGTTCTAGGAATTGGGCATACAGAGATGACAAAACAAAATCCTTCCCTCATGAAGCAGACCATCTAAAAACAAAATTAACAGCATAAATATTTCAAAGTATTGAGGTCATAGAATTAGACTTGGGTATGAAATTTAATTTGAATTGTTTCACAAATGAGTAAACAAAGATCTAATCAGATTAAGTGACTTATCTAGTCAGTTATTTAAGGGTGGGCACAAGACAGATCCAAACTTTGGCAATATGTTTCAAACATGCTCCTCCAAGACCTGGGCATTCTTCTTAGTGATCACTTGAAAGGGGGGAGAGTGAGCTAGTGAAATGTGGGGCTGGGTGAAATTAGCAAACTAATCAATCACTCGATCTACTGGTTATCCAATCTCTAATCCTAAAACTTCACAAATACTGCTTATTCTATGGTCAACAATGAAACTTTATTTGATAGATCAATGGACTTTTTAACTTTTTGCACTTTCTTTTCTGTAGTTCAGTGAAAGTGGAAGAAAGAATCGCAAATCACATCACAAAAAACATATTCAACAGTCACCTAAACTTCACAAATTACCACATTGTTCTGAATTACCATCCCACCAGAATCAACTCAGTAAAAAGTATTACCATGTTCTTCTACACAAATTATCTAAGCATAGGCCTGAACATTCATATACTAAGTGTTCAGTCAAAAATAACACTGTGGTCAACAATAACAATTCAGAGATCACCACCCAAGTACCATCTTTGAATTCCATATCTCCTTCCATCAAAATTACTACCAATTCAGGTGTGAGACCTCTCACTCAGAATGCTGTTATTACATCTGCAAGAGAAAATATCATGACTGGCTCTTCTGTAGCTACATCAACATCACAACCTTCTTCAGCTCTTCCAGAGACCACAGCTTCCCCACCTACATCTTTCCCAGCTACAACTCCACAACCTTCTTCAGCTCTGCAAGAGACCACAGCTGCCCAACCTACATCATTCCAAGCTACATCAACACCACAACCTTCTTCAGCTCTGCAAGAGACCACAGCTGCCCAACCTACATCATTCCCAACTACATCAACACCACAACCTTCTTCAGCTCTGCCAGAGGCCACAGCTGCCTCACCTACATCTTTCCCAGCTACACCAACACCACAACCTTCTTCACCTCTGCCAGAGACCACAGCTGCCCCACCTACATCTTCCCCAGCTGCAACAACACCACAACCTTCTTCAGCTCTTCAAGAGACCACAGCTGCCCAACCTACATCATTCCCAGCTACATCAACACCACAACCTTCTTCAGCTCTGCAAGAGACCACAGCTGCCCCACCTACATCTTCCCCAGCTGCAACAACACCACAACCTTCTTCAGCTTCACCAGAGATCACAGAAGTCTCACATGCCACACCTAATTCTTCCCCAAACACTGTTGCACCTGAAACTACAGCTGCACCAGTACCCCAAACTACTCCTCCAACCACTAGTCAAACTGTTACTGTCACACAACCGACTTCATCTCCCAGTCAAAATATATATCTTCAATTTCTTGCAGGCTTACGATATTGGTTTAATAGAATTTTTGATCATTTAGAAAGGATTCAGTAGTACATTATACATTGTGTAGTGTTCTGTCAATTATAAAACATGATTTATGAGTACAGAACTTTCATCTTTAATTTTACCATGAATCCCAAAATGAATTTATAATATTACTTAAATTCTAACTATTATCACTAATCCTTGAATCAAACTATTTTTCCACATGACCTATTAATGTCACAAACCACCTCTATCTCATAAACCAATTGCATATCTAGGATTCAAGATCACATTTTAGGACCTACTGAGGGAACAGAAAAATCTTTAGATAAAAAGGACAAATTGTGTAGGTTATCTACCATTCACTCCCCTAAATGTTGGAAACTATAATCATTACTTTGTACCACCAACCATGAATAGATAAAACTCTTTCTACCTGAACAAAACATCTAAATATCAATATATTGATACATATATGATTTATCTTTATATCTATCTTTTATATTTCCATCTATATTCATCTATCTATACAGACTTATATTATTATATTGCCAATTAAGGACTAAATCCTTTACACAATCATTATAAGTTTTAAATAAAATTTCACTCCGCAAAATGTGAGCTAGGAAAAGGGAAAGATTTGAAAAGAATGAAAAATGAAATCTGGCAGCCAAGCACAAACCAACACTCCAACACTTCATTTTTAAGAGCATGTAATTGTTTAAGCCTTATGATTGACACTGACTGTATTACATCTAATTTAATTTAGATCTAAGGTATTTGATTCTAGCTTCAGTGAACCACAGAAGAGTTTGTTGTATATACACAAGTGACATATAAAAATTTACTATTAATTCAATTAATTTACATTAAGTCAATATAAGATGTGCTTGACAGTAGAATTTTTTTAAATTTAGTCACACATTTGAATGTGTTTAAAAGTAAACCTTACTGCCCTAGTGCCAAGTTTACAAAATTGTCTCTGAAAATAAACCCTAACTTTAGTTGGCAGAAGAATAAAAATCACATGCTTGGAATATAGAGATAATGTTAACTTGGGACATAGAGTTATTTTTATTTTCTGTCACTACAACTAAGAAATCTGGTGATTGTATTTAGATTTTTTGCTCATTAATAAAGACGTCACATGGCAATTATTTTCATTGTGTATATTTGAAAGTTTTTCGTCTTCCTTAGGCTCTGAGACTGGTGAAAAGAGGTCTAAAGAAAAATTTACATTCTCGTCAACTCTTGCACTAATAAGCCAAATGACCTGGGTCCTCAATATCTCTGAATAGAAAGTGTTTTCCATTCTTCAAACAAAGTGGTTAATATACTTACATTAACTTTATTTTAGTTATTTATGTATGTTTTCAATACAAATTTTGTGTTTATCCTATGCTTTTCTCTCCAACGAATAAAGACCTCATACCTCTTGCTTACCTCTGTTCTTTCCAGGATCATTTTGGAGCAGTTTTATGACATTTGGGATTATTTAAAATAAGAATAGCAACTAGTTCTTTCCATGGGAATATTTCTTGGTTTTAGAAATGGCCAAGATATGCCTTCTTGAGGCTGAAGCCTACATCAGTATCAGTATAAACTAAAATATATGAGTTGGAATTCTAAGTATATGGAATGAAATGGAAGAAGTGAAATGGATTGGAATGGAATGGAATAAAGTATTCATCACATTATCCTCAATGAGGA